TATATTAGTTTGTTCTCTTTTGTTATTTTTTCGTACAAAATAACAACTCTTGCTTTGTACAGACTGAAACACTTTTAAAAAGGAAATATTTCCTATTTTAGTCATTTAAATTGAAACAAGAGGCTTTTGACCTTTATTGTCATGGTATTGACATAGCATGATAGGAAGCATGTGCTACTCTTGGGAGTAATTGAAGACAATTTTAAAAATACTAATGTATAACAAAACCAAAAGGATGAAACAAAAATGCCTATAACRTTTTTTAACATGCAGGATTCATTGTGGGGAGAAATTAAAAAAAAAAAAAATCCAAACTATTTCCTGCAAGTCAAAAATCAAAAGGTTGGTGTTCCAGGTGAAATGAAAGGTCTGCATTTATCCTCCCAATACTTGARCTAGAATTAAAATAAAATTAGAGAGGACATGAAACCTCCACCATGTGGCAGAAACCAGCTGCCAAGGAGGCCCTGAGTATCTCTGCCACCAGTGTTTATCCTTACAAGGAGCTCTCTGAGAAAATAACGGAAGRATAAAGTAAAAAATCAAGCCTCCTGCTATTCAGGGAAGGAAGGGAGCAGTTCAGTGCAGTGTACCCTGCACACATGTCCAGGTTAGCTGGCTTGCTGTCTGACATTGGCTGGTCAGGGTGTCTGACTCAGCAACCTCCTCTCTGGGTCCTTCTGTAGCCCGTGGAAACTCAGAGTTTCCTCTGGAAGGTGGCACTGAGAGCCACAGGGTATTGCATGCATCTCCTGCTGTTCCAGCATCTTCCTTGCTCTTTGCTGGCTTTGTGGGAGGCCAGGAGCCCATCCTCCCTCTGCTCATTAGATGGGGTCACTCGYTCTTTTCCTGGTGACCTCTCCTACTTGGGCTGCTTGGGGATTTAAATAGGGGCATGCTTAAAGGTCTCCCCAGGTTAGATCTAAATGCTCAGTCCAGGGCCAGACAAAGCTTTTGTCACCTTGCCTGCTGGTGGGGAGGTTTGGTGGGTGGTGGCACCATGGCTGGGAAGGGGCAGGAGAAGGGAGAGCCCTCCTCCATGGCAGCAGCGCTGGCAGGTGAGAATTTCAGTGTCCAGTGCTGCCAGTGGAAGCTGGAGGGATCAGAAGGAGGATAACACAGTGCCTGACCTAGCAAGAGGAGCAGACACGTGTAAAGGAGGTGGCATGAGCTGTTGTCTTGGGAAGGACCCCGGTGAAGGTGAATTTCTGTGTACTCTGAACTTGGAGGTGATACCCAGTGAGAGTGGAACGAGTTAGTGCRGCTGCCCTTCTGGTTTATTTTTGTCTAGGGGAAGAGAAGTATTGTCTTTTGTGTGCAGTATGTTTATAACTCAATTTCCCTTCTGACTGATGCCTTGCTCCAYGCACTCTTGTCCTCCTCCATCTGGTTTCTATTGTAGTTTTAAATGAAGATGGTTTAGCTGTCTGGCAGAACAAGCGGGGTCTGTGTGACACCAGCTACCCCTTCCAGCTTCTAAGCCTTCTAAGCTTSCAGCACAGTTTTAATTATTGGATTATTATYATTATTATTTAATTATTTTAATTATTGGTGTCAAGATTAGACCCCTTCCCCCCACTCTTTTCTGTGCCTGTACAGCCCCTGCTGCAAATCCTCATCCACGTCTGATCTTCCTTTGGGAGAGACCCAGCTCTGTGATTTACATSCTCTGTAACTCTGACAGAGAGTTGTAAAGCACATGCCAGAGCCTGTACCTTCCTGCATTTAGGATTGATCCCAGCCTCAGTTAATCAGGAGCCACGTCTGAAATAATCCTACCACCTCAGAAACTCCTGGAAGTGGGAGAGAGCTGCTCACTGCTGCTCTGACCTCGCCACCYCCAAGTGCCCAAAAGACTAAGCTTTGTAGGAGATCAGAGCTGCTCAGRAATGCCAGAGCTACAGGTTCTGCTCAAAGAAAACATTTATTGTGCTCCAGCTACACACAAGCACTGCATTTAGGGGCTTGATTTGCAGGCAGTTGATGCAGTCCCTTCGCCTCCAGAGATCTGAGCTCTAAGTCTGTAATTTTCAGTTGCAAGTGAAAAGTGTCTTATGTGGGATTTTTATTTTTTTGGGCATCAGAAAATGGGCACAAATTTTGGCATAACTGGCTGTTTCTCTTTCTGTGAGTCAAAGAGCTGATATGGCAGGAAATCTTGTGTGTGATGAATGAAGGGCAGAGATATGTGAGAATGCCAGGGCTGGAAAAGCAAGGAAGGGTGAAGGGCTGCAGTAAGAGATACTGGCAGAGCTGTCCATTTGCAATCTCTAGGTCGTCTCTACTGTGGAGTTTTCACCCACTTTTAAAAATGGGTTGAATTTTATATATTTGCTGCAGATTGTCCCCCTCAGGCCCCTGTTTTTTTGCTTACCAGTCCTCAGCAGACGGATCTGGCCTTCTCTAGTTTCTGTATAGGGAGTTTGCTTACCTGCCTGAGGCCTCTTGACCTAATTTATTCCAAGGAAACTTAGAACTCAGCCAAAAAAATGGTGTGCTTTAATAGGTCTTACTTTCAAGAGGTCAAATTAGTCACAACAAACATCAATATCTGCATTTTTACTTGGTTTTCTTGTTCTTAACACTGAGGTTTTAAAAAGTGTCTAATAAAGGATGCTTTGTGTATGGACCCTGTTTTTTGGCAGCCAGGCACCATCATATGAGGCTCCATGAATGGCTATTAACCTTTAAACAAACCTTGTCATGTGGCTATCCTGATCAAATATGTTTTCTGTTCGATTAATTATTCTTTTTCAGGCTGCATGGATTTCAATGGTTTCTGTTCTTTCACCCAAAATAGATCTGAGGTGGACATGGGTCTGCCTAACTTTTGTTTTTGCTGGTTCCATGTCATTTATTCTGAGACCTCTACCRAGAAGGAAATCTTAATATGCCGTGTATGCATAGCTTCCAACCTAAAGATGTTAAAGCCTGATTTTCCAGAAATGGAGATGAGGCCTGAAATAATTTGTCTTTCCTTTTTTTTTTTTATTTTTGTTTTTAATTTTTAGCATTCTCATCATCATATGATCTGAGTTCCCTACTGCAGTTCCAAGTAATCAGGACTTACTCAGAGATAGGAAGGTCCTCTTTTTGTGTGTTGTGTGTGACTTTGGCTTTTCTTGGCAGGATATTAAGGAAATTTTGTACTTTTTGCTCTGTCTCCTTCCACACCATTTAGTCCACATAGGAAGTAGGTGTTGCAAGCACTGAAAGGAATGCTTCCCAGTTTTTTTCCTTTCTGAAAGTCACTGATTTGTCTTCTCATTGAAATCCTTGAGGAGAGAATACTGTAAACTCTGCAACTGTTGTGGACAAAGCTTTGACTCTGTAGACCTCACATAATTTTTTAGTGATTTTATGGTCTCATGAACACTGTTGTAGGCTTAGGGCCTCTGCCATGAGCTCCGCCCAAAAACTGGAGGGTCTTGAAAATCAGCACAAGGGCTTTGAGTGTAATACAGCATGACCAATGTACCTTTGTCATTAGTCCCTGCTCAAAAAACCCATAAAGTMAAYTTTTCCCTGTTGTTTTGAGACGCTYCTTTCACTGAGAARAATTTGTGTGTTTGGATCATTTGGGCTTCTGAGCAATCACTGGGACTTTGCGTACTCCTGCGTTTGGCCAAAGGACAAGAGAGGGGACACACAAAAGGACTTCTTTACTTCCCTCAGAATTCCAGGAGGTGGAAGGGCAGCATTTCTTTGGCTGAGTGGTCCAGTAGAAGTGTGATACTGGAATGGGTGCCAACTTGGAGCCCTTCTCACCAGAGCCAGTGCCCTGCACAGCTCGGTGGGGACAGGTCCACCCATGAGCTGGCTCTGGCCTCAATGGCTGCCATGAGAAATACAACAATGTACCGCCTGGTTTTTGTTCAGGCTGTCGTTGGAGGGCTGTCTTTGGAGGCCACCAGATGAAGCACATGTGAATATGTCATTATAGTCCTGAACTTTGAGCAGAACAACTCAGGGAAGGTCCAGCATTGCCTCTGGGGGTGTCACAAAGATGCAGAAATTGGTGTGGCTCTCTTTCCAGTCAAGTCTGTGGCTTAGTCGGTTTTCTTCCCCACAGCTGTTGAAATGTGATGTGCAGCAGAGTCAGCATTACAGCAGGGAGCTTTTAACTTCTGCATTTACTGACTTTTGAGCCTATGGCTGTGTGAGGCCTTGCATTAAATACACAGTAGTTTCTAGCACCTAATAAGGAAGGGCTTTCTTACTGTTATTGTTATAGCTTGGGTTGTTATAGTGCTGGGGACAAGGAGGCTTGATCTGACCAAGAGAATGGGGGGTTCTTATACCTATATAATGGGGAAAAAATAAACATATCCTTTGGGTCCAAGTCTGGATGTAAATGTTGTGCCTCAGGCTCCTCTTGGCTTTAAGACTGGTTAAGTCTTTGTCTACTTATGCTGATGGAGCTCTTTTGAAGCCGATGTCAGGTTTTGTCAGTGTGCAGATCTAGTCAATATTTGAACTCTGTACCCCCTCAGTGGGATTTATGACCACTGAACTGTGGGTATGTAGGCTTATATGGAAGTGTGAGTGCTTCTCTGATTTTTATCCAAGCCAATGAGACCTTTTGGCACAATTCAGTGAGGCTGGAGCTCTGTATTGGGGAGGGTGGAGATTCCCAGGACCTCATGCTTTACCACATGCTTTCAATTAGAATGAAAGAGCTTCTTTTATTTTATTTTTGAAGGAAAAGAAAAAGGAAGAGAGGGAAACCATACCTTTCTTTCCACTATGTTACTGTGGCTTCAGGGTCAGTCGTTATCACATGTCAGTGAACATTGCATGGCACAACCACAACATATCCTCATGGCCACTTTGCAGGGCTAATTTTTTGGCTTTCCCTGTATTTCTCCCATTGCTGTATCCTTCCCTGCGTCCACAGAGAGCCTCTGCTGTTTTTTCATGGAACTGTCTCCTTTGTGGTGGTGACTTGTGGAGAAGCTGTCAATGTGTATTCATTGCTTTGCTTTCCTCTCCTCTCATAGTCCCCTACGTGCTGAAGAGCTGTGCAGAGTTCATTGAGACTCACGGCATTGTGGATGGGATCTACCGCCTCTCAGGAGTGACGTCCAACATACAAAAATTGAGGTAAGGGCAGCGTGGGTGAGTGTCAGAGGGATTCAGGGCATTGCTCAGTATCTTTTTGGCATTAGTCCCTCAGGTACAGACTGTGGCCAGCAGGCAGAAGTTCCACACTCAGCAGAAGACAAACTGTCTTTGAGGTTGGTAAGAGGGAAAGAACATTTTAGGCATTAGCTCAAAACCCCCTGTGTCTATTAATGGGAAAGGCATGGAGTGTCTCAGCACAAATGGTGAGTTCCTCTCTCTCACTTTGAGACAAAGCWATCTCCTTAATCAGTTTGAGGTCCACTCCCCGTGTTTGGGATAATTAAAACTAATTGAAACGTCAGGGCCTGAACCTAGTGACAGTCTGGGCCAGTGTGCTGAGACATCTCTGCTTTCCAGTTTGTTTTGTCTCTAGCTGTAAATGAGTATTCAGAATGGGATGCTGGCCTGCTACTTAGCTCTTATTCACCTATTTTGTTATGTTTCCATATTGTTYCAGACAAGAGTTTGTGTCTGACCAATGCCCAGATCTGACAAGGGAAGTTTACCTCCAGGACATCCACTGCGTGGGGTCACTCTGCAAGCTGTACTTCAGGGAACTGCCCAACCCTCTCCTCACTTATGAGCTCTACAAGAAATTCACGGTGAGACCCTTGGCTGTTCTTGTTCCTCTCCAGCAGTGTGGATGTGCTGCAGATTCCCCCATGACAGCTGTTTGGGATTCACTCCAGTGTCCTGGCTTCTGGTGCATYTATCCATATAAACACTTCTCAGTGCTCTTCCCTTCTCATTTTGTGTTGGCTCTCTTTCCCTGTCCTTGTTTCTTTTCACCATTTCGTGTTTATTCCTCTCAGTTTGTCTGCTGTTTCCTCCCCTWCATCTTGCTCAATTTTTCCCCGCATCGCTTCCCCGCTGCCTCTTTCTCCCCACTGTGCACCTCCTCCCAGCACTACTAATTCTCTTTCTTTTCCTCATTACTGTCCATTCCTGAGAGTCTTCTGGGTCAGCTTGTCATCATAATCACAAGGGTGTAGTTTTGTTTCCTCATCCCTGTCCCTGACACCTGCAGAAACTGATTGCTCAGCCCATGTGTAAAGCATCAACTTTTCTGCATCTGTACCATTTTTCATCCTGTTTGTAGGAGCACAAACAATGATACTGGTTGTGCCAGATATGGCATATCAGGTCCATCATGATCACGTTATAAATACAAATGGCAGAGGAAAGTGGCAGCTGGCCAAGCAGAAATCTCTGACTTTGTTTAAAGAGATTACAATTCAAAGAGCGGTGACTTGATTCTGGAAAGCAGCCATAGATTATACATGGATACAGTTGGAGCCTAGGAGCAGACTGYGGGGGAGCAGAAATATAAGACCACAAAGTCTGAATTTTTAAGAGACTTGGCTAATTTCGATGACAGATAATATTTTATTAAAAGATGGCACAGCAAGCTATGCTTGTTATTAAAGCTGCCTGTTTCTTACCATTCTAAATCCACTTTCAGTTTTTATCACCAACAAATTTAAATCCCATCATCGAGGCTGAAATCTTGTGTGCTGAAGGTATGCATTTTCAGCTAAAAGAGTTCACCAGCTTCTTAAGATAACTGGGGGATGGGAAAGATTGTTTTCTCAGTGTTAGAAACATCCGTCCTTTGTTAAGAATTTCTGTCATCCTACTCTTTCCCGTTTGCCGGGAGGAGGAGGAGACAGTCATTGCCAAAAATGTCAGATGTTGCAGAGAAGTTGTTCTGCAAAATCAGGTGTTGCTGTCTGAGCTGCCTCTACCTCAAATCAAGCCCTTCCAAGTGACCCTGCTGTGATTCAGGAGGCACTGAGAGAGATCCATGGGGCTCACAMAAGGAGACATTTTCCAAAGACTCCCTGCTGGCTTTTCTGGGAACAGACATCATTACAAGGGGTTCTTGTTGTGGGGCAAAGCCATATGGGACCAGCCAAGCAGGAGCTTGCTGTGAKAAGTCAGGTAYAATAATGTTAGGTGCCTTGCTGTTCCAATGACAAATTTTAAGTAAGATGGGTCTTTGTTTCAACGTGATATATAGTCAAGTCTTGAGGGAAAATCCTGAGCAAATTTGAGAAATTGACCTGTATCCTCAGGATATAAGGATTCTGAGGATGTAGGGTAGGATTGCTGGAGACAGTCAGGATGAATAGGATCTTGAAAATACAGGGTATCATTCAACCATTCACTGTAACTGATGAGTCTCATTCTTGTTGAAGCTATTCTGCTGGTGTCTTCCTGGCTATCACTACTGATTTATAAAAGAAAAAATGTTCKAAAGGAAACCTGAAGATTTAGATGGAAACTTTTTTTAGGACAGAATGTTTGCTGAAAAGTGCAGTTTGGGGATGATGACTTGCAGATTTTCGGTAGATACTTTTGGTAAATAGCTTTATTCAAAAACAAAAGGGAAAACATTTCTGTATCTGTCTGAGTGTTTCTTTTACAAATACTTTCTAAAGGAAATGTTTCAACATTACATCAACACATCTAACTTACATAAAATGTCTTTCAGAAAAGGTTAAATCATTCCAAATTTAAATTATAATTAACTTATGTTTGAGTGTGATGCTTTTGGTCAACCTTGAACAGTTGTTTTCTAAAATCTTATGTCAGCTCCCCAAAACATTATCACTTTAGGTTGACCTAAAAGGTGTTTTTTTTTTTTTAATCTCTGGCTTTTCAGTTTGTCCACTTAGCCACAAAATCCATTATTCATGTAAGACTGCACAGTAGGAATTTATAATTGGTAACCCAGCTGACAGGAAGCACAGTCAGAAACCAGGAGGAAAGAAAGAAAAARACCAATTCCCCAAGGAGCAGAAAACCCACTAGGAGTGTGTGTTTGGGGGGAGGATATCTGAACAGGGAACAGTGGCAGCTGCACCTCAGCAGACCAGTGCTGGTAGGAATAAAGAACACATGCTAATCCCAGCCTGACTCAGCCAGAGCTGTCTTCAGTTGGGATAGGCTGCACTTTGAGTCACCAGAGTGATTCAGAAATTTCTGTCTAAGGAAAGTCAAATTCRTAATGACTAGGGAGGGGTTGGCCTTTTGGTCATCGCCGTGTCAAATTCACAGGTGTAACATTCCAGTCATGACCTCACTGGCTATTAATTTTTGGGAAATGATCACCATCTTGTATCCTAGTGTTGGGTGGTTGTTTCTCAGGACAGATGAATTTGGCATAGAGGGACCACATTTGCTCCCTGACAGCAAATCAGCTCTGGGAGGCCAAGCCTACCTTCTCCCTCCAGACTGCATTCCACTTATTAACCAGGGCTTATGAATTGTGCACTCCCARAATCACCGGTGGAGTTAAAAAAAAATCCTAAATTGCATAAATTTTACCATGGTGAACAGATATGCAATGAATGAAATTACTGGTTCTTCCTTGAATTCTGTATTCTGCTGCTGTAATGCRCACTTTTGGAGGGCTCCTCAGATTTCAAAGGCACAGCTTGTTTGGGTCAGAAATGTGGCTYAGAGGATTGGATGGGTCATGACCTCAGAGAAGCTGGTATTCACTTGCTGTCTAATCATTAGGTCTTTGAGACTTGGAGAGGTAAATATGGGAATGAAAATGTGCACTGGGGAAGAAAATACTGTGTACAATCTAGTTGAAATCTAATGCTTTAGGTGCTCCAGTTTAAGTTTTTATTTCTCTCYATCTCTATCTTTGGACAAGGCTATTCAACTGGAAACCTTGTATTAAGATTTCTTATACTCAGGATTGCTGAGATTTTTTTTTATTATTATTTTTTAAGAGCTGTAGCTATGTTTAAAAGGCACTAGAAGGAGTTAGCCTGCCTTTAATTTGGGCAAAACAAGTACATCTCATGTATACCTAACTAGTGAGCTCACTTGTTTTGATCTGCCATCACTTCTCTGGCCTTGAAACTGTGGCAAACACTCTGGCAGKGTTTGGTTTGCTGGTGGTTGTAGATGAGAAGTGATCTTTTGGGAAAAGGRCAGTGACCAAAGCAGCATCATCACGGTGGGTGCTGCAGTGATTGCCACAAGAAGATTCATCTCTAATGGTGGCTGCTCATTTCAGGCTCATGATGTTGAAGCAATGAGTGGCTTGGGAAGGTTGTTTCCTTTCTTTCCTTCCCTGGCAGTGCTGGAGTCTGTCTGGAGGCAAAGCTGGTGCTGGCAGCGTGGGTCACAGCATCTTTMTTTGAATTTGCTCCAAGCTCCAGTGGCAGTAGGGTGGGTAGGAGGTTCCCAGACAGTCATGCACTGTTTGAACTCGCTGGTGGCTTGTCCTCCCCCAGCACAAACATTGAAAGGGAATAGCTGAACAGATGAATAGCGATGCAGTGAACTCCTAGGAATGCTGACAAAAGCTTATCATGGCTCTCTAAGCTCTTGGTCTGCAGAGATTTGCTCAAGACTGAGATGCATAACCTCGATTCTGTCTAGCCCTGAGTATAAGAATTTATTAATCTGCCCAGACAGGGGTTCTGCTAAGGCTTCTTCCATGATAAAAGATGCAAACCCACATCAACAATCCCCTCAGCTATGTTCTTATGAGAGTCAAAATATTGCTTATTTTGAAGAATATCGAACATGTATATCCAAGGTGTTCTCATAACACAGAGCTTGAAAAACCTGTTTTATTTTTAACGGGTTATTTTGCGGGAGAGTCATTCCTTTTCACGTTTTTCATTATTTTCACTTCTCTCTTTCCCCTCACTGCCCAAGTTAAAACARTGGAAAAGAAAAAAAAAATACCCAACAAAAAGCAAAGCAAARCAAAACAAACCAACACAAGCCAGCCCCCCACTTACATTCATAATTGAAGGTCTAAGTTCTTAAATTCCCCTCTCCCATAAATACTGACCACCATGGCTGAACGTCGGAATAACAGTGCAGGAAATCTCAGCTGTGCTGGGGACACAGAGTAACTTCTTCCAATAATTCTGTAGGGTAACAAGAGAGCATTCCCTCTGGRACAGGGTGTCTCGTGTGACCCTTCTTATCCCTCTTCCTTTTCCCCTGAGTCCATTTTCAGGGTGTATCCTTTCCTTGTATCCCTGCAGGAAGCAGTATCACGCTTCCCTGAGGATGAGCAGCTGGCACGGATTCARAATGTCATCCAGGAGCTGCCACCATCACATTACAGGTAAGAATGTGTCTGCAGAGGTGCTGAGGATCAGCGTGGTGACCCTCACCCTCATCAGGGAATGTCGCCTGAAATAGCTCTGGGATTAATTTCCAGAAATCAATTTTCCAAAAGCTGACTCACCGTTTCCAAATCTGGCAGCAAGTTATCTGGCATTTGAATATCATTGAACAAACCCTTCTTAGAGACAGAGCAGGATCTCCCTGCTGCAGTCTTATCATCCTCTTTCCCCAGGAATGACCTTTGTGGCACCCTTGGCTGTGTTCAAGCTGTGGGAAGGAGAAGATGATCTGCTGGAAGTGCTTGAGCAAGARCTAAAAGCTCAGCCTTTTCAGAATCCCACTCCCTCTTCCACCCATCTCCCGTCTGCTTTGGACAGTTTGGTTTATGCCCTACCCTTGGCCACCCCAGAGCGCAGCTGTTGAGGTGTCTGCTGCCAGCCCATGCAAATTCTGTGAATCCTCTGCCCATGGGGTGTGTTGTGCCACTGCAGACACTTGGCAAAGGCTGGCTTTGAGCCTTGCTGTCCCTCACAGGCAGGTAAAGTGACACATTTTTCTTTCTTTGTGTGAACCACTGCAGAACGCTGGAATACCTGATCAAGCACTTGACTCATCTGGCCTCCTTCAGCAACATGACCAACATGCACACCAGAAACCTGGCCTTGGTGTGGGCTCCAAATCTCCTCAGGTACCGTAGAGATTCCTCTAATCCAGAGCACTGTGCTGAGCTCAAGGGAAGCTCAAGCATCTGAGCCTGGAGATCCATCACTTGAGGGAAATRCAAAGATGGGGAAAAGCTGAGCAAYCRAAGGGAGGARCACAGCAGAGCAAACAGCTTTTCCTCCAGGTTGAATAAYCTAAGGTTTTATTGCCAGCATCCAAGGAAGCTTGTGGGTTTGTGTGTTTCTTATTAAAAAAAAAAAAMAAACAAGTTGTTRTTTGCAAGTTGAGCACAGATYTAAAAACGAGGAGTWARCTCATCACTTGGGAATGTTAATGACATTTTTGATGGTGCCAGGGCTTCTGCAGCAGGGCAGTGAGAGGCAGCAAGGATCAGAAGGGAGAGCAACAAGGCAGTAATACTGCAGGCCTGTTCCCAGATCTGCTTGTGCAAAAGTGGGATGAGCTTGCTGGGCTTGAAACGGCAGCCAGGGTCAGATCTCAAGACCACCAGATTATTTTTCATGTTTGTTATGCTTGGCACTCTGCTGTGAAAAAGCCTGGATTAGATGCAGGCAGAGGTTTGTCTGCTATGTTATAGTGCTAAGCAGAGCAAGGAAAAATAACATCTGGAAAAAAAAATTAAATATTTTTAATTTTTTTTAAATATTTAAAAATTAAATATTAAATATCTTGTCAAAATCCTCTTTCCATCCATCCAATACTCCTGCATTTAGAGGAATGAACTATACAGGGATAGTCCAGGACTCCAGCTGGGCAGGAGAGGGGTGATGGCAGAGCTGGTGGAGGGAGCCCTGGGCTGGCAGAGAACATTGGCTAGAGAGTTACAGGCCTGAAAAGCTTTCTCTAAAGAGTTATCTCACCCTTCTAAATCACGAAAACAGCAGAGCAGGTTCTGAAAAATGAATCAAATGTTGACTCTATTGAATATCATAAAGTGGGCCTTTACTACTGAGACATTTTCATTCTAGCATCTGTCCCTGTCAAAAAAAAAAATAAAAATGAAGTCTCTTTCCCCTTGCAATCTTTCATAAGAACATCTCAGGGAGGAAAAGAAAGGATCAAGCAGTGCAACTGCAGTCTCCTTACAGGGTTATCCTCTTGGCAATGCCCCAAGCTGTTATCTAGCACACCAGTCATTAACTTTACAAAGGATCCATTGCCCAAAGATAATTTCTTCAGCAACACTTTGGCATGTCAAGATAAGGAATGTTTCTTTGCTGAGAGCAAGAGTGAGAATGTGGGAGTACAGGGTGGGCAGAGAAGAGACTSCTGGGGCACACGGCAAAGCATTGAGAAAATTGGCATGGGGAAGACCTGAGCAGGGTTTTAGGGATTTCACTGTGGGATGATTGAAGCTTTTTGGAGGGATCTAGAAGCAGTGTTCGAGGCTCACGTGTTGTCTTTCAGGCCCAGCTRTGAAATAGCTGAAATAGGAAAAAGGAGAGAGAAGAATGGAGCTTGAGAGTCAGAGTTTTACCTGCTGGAGAATGTAAAAGACAAGAAGGGAAAATAACAGATTGAGGAAAGGAAGTTACGGAGGTGGCAAAGAAAACAGGGAAAATAGYTTTTAAAAGAGCAAAAAGGTGAARGATGRGKGYCTGTGAGGGAAGGAGAGCAAGAGGCACAGCAAGAGTGGGGAAATGATCCCTGTTGCCTTGCTTGCAGGAAGAAAACTGGTCTGTCCTTGCCAGGGGCTGTGTGGCAATGCTCACTGCTGCTGTACCTCTTTCCTCATGCAGGTCAAAGGAGATTGAGGCAGTTGGCTGCAATGGGGATGCAGCTTTCCTGGAGGTGCGAGTGCAGCAACTGGTGATCGAGTTCATCCTGAACCACGTGGATCAGATCTTCAGCAACAACAGGAAAGCCAGCTCTGCAGAGAACATTGGTAGCAACCTCCCTGAGACACTTCCCATGGCATTTGCTATGTAGTCCAGCTCTCCCTTCAACTRATATTCCAAGCACATTAACCCTTGCTATCACCATAGACCACCCCAAAGATACCTTGAGCCCAATACCTCATTACTCTTGTCTTCTTCACCCCCTATCTTGAACATTTTCTTTTTGARTACTAGCCTCCTTCAGTGTTTTCTCAGGTTGCCTTTTGACACATCTTTTGCATGATCTCATGTGGCTTAACCCTTTCCACCMAAAGAAGACCACCTGATTGATTCTCAATCTTGGTCCAAGCTTTCTCTCTAAGTCCATCAGCCACAGTCTCAGCTCTTCTCTCAGGTTCCCCCAGTTACAATTCCTCATACCAACAATACCTGCCCTGCAGCCRCCCTTCCACCCAAGTCAGAGGTCATACTCCCAGGAAAAAAAATTTAATCTTGTGTGCAAAAACTTGTATCTTGTTCCTGAGAACATTTGGTAAAAGAGATTTATCATTTTCCTGGGACATCAACAGTTTTCAGAGATGCCAATTTTTATGTTTAGTGGTGGTTTTGTTGGCAAAGACTGGGAAATGAGAAGGCATGGATCCACGGTGAACTCCCATAATTTCAGAAATATGCACCTTTCTGCTTTACAYGTTGGAAGGATTTGTGATATCTTCAGAACTCAGGGAATATCCACCTTTCTGCTTTGCAGCCCCRTGTCAGCTCATTCTGCCCATCTTTACCAAAACACGGCTTTGCCACTGTCCCCATAAACAGACACTTTCAGCTCCCTGGGCTATTGGTGCCACTGCTTTCTGTGGCCCTGAAATGGATTAGAAAGTTAAAGTAATACTGGTTTTTAAAATAATCCTCCATCCTGGAACAAGACAAAGAGAAAGATGTGGAAGTGAGAGAAAGAGCGAGGCACCAGATTTGGATCAGGGACTGAACTGCTTCAAAATCGGGGGAGGTGGAGGCAGGAGGGAGGAAGGGAGTGAGGGAGCAGAAAAGGGAATATGTGAATCCTGGTGGTTTTCAGAGACACCTCCTTCACACAGAAGTGTCTACAGCAGAGGAAGCAACTCCCCACGGCACAGCCTTTGGCTGGCAAAGCATGGTCCTGCTGGGAATGTACTCAGATGGATAAGGCTGCTGGGGAGCTGAAAGCCTTGTCTGACAAAAACCCTTTCTCCCTGCACGTGCCACTTCTTTCCCWGCTCTGCAGGAGATGTTCCAGTCAAATAAAGACATGAAGCTCTTGCTCTCGTCTCTCCTCGCCCCAGGCTGGAATGTATTTTCTTCCTTTTCAGAGAGCGCATCAGTTGTGAAAAGTTTGACCCTCCCCTCGGCCTCGCTGCCAATGAAACTGGTGAGCCTAGAAGAAGCACAGGCACGGAGCCTGTCTGCATCCCACCCTGCTCGGAAGGAGAGGAGAGAGAACAGCTTGCCTGAAATCGTGCCTGTGATTGGGTCCCTCTTCCACACAGTGGTTGACCTTCCTGACAGCAAGTAAGTGCCAAGAGGGGTGTAAAGCACAAACAAAAAAGTGCAGGTTCCCCGGTGTGATTGGGAATGATCTTTTTGTTAATGTGATACCCCCACACCTCCACCTGCTTGAATCCACAGCCACTATCCAAAGGAAATTCCATGTMTTTCTCAAAAGAGGCAGAGCTGCTYCTGAGAAGCATTGCACTTGCTGGGTTCATAGCTTCACAAGTTTTCATCTCTCCATCAGGGCAGAACCTCACAGACATCCTGCAGGAGGAATGGGTTGTTTTTGCATCCTTGTGCCAGCTCAGAATTTGGCTAAACACGGGGTGAGCATGGAGCAGGTTGGGGCACAGCTCATCTACAAGTTCCACCTGCAGGTGGCTGGTCCAGGACACTCCTGGTGCCACTGACCTGCTCCATCTTCTGCATTCTCCTGGTTCCTCTGCAATAACAGCCAAGCAGGAAGGCTCATTTTCATTCCCAGCGTGGACAGATATTTACACAGTGACACCTATGCCAGCTCTGTCTGTGCCAGGAGCAGAGTCTGATTTCAGCTGAGGTTGCTGCCGTTGTTGGCTGCCCAGAATAAGTATTTATCTCTTGGTCTATCTAACTGTTAATATATAGCCACTCTCTACTGCCTGGTTCTGATAGATTATAGCCTCTGCAGCAGGAGGCTCATTAATCTACTGACCCAGAAAGAACCAGAACAAAGATATTTATTGGCACTTGATATATTAAAGCAAAAGGAGCCGGAATACTGGCAAGAGGATAACTAGCTTAAGACAAAAGGATGTATTGCCCCCCTGGAGTGCCTTCTCCTTTCTCATTTGAAGAGAAAAGTCCTATCCCCAAGGTATTAATCCCCTTTGTAGGACTGATTTGTACTTTTCTGAGTACTGATCAGAAAGAAAAGGAGAAATATGGGGATAGAAAGCRCAATGTGGAGAGCGAGACAGGGAGATAAGAGAATTCATGCTCTGAAAGAGGGGAGATWGAAGGAGGAGTCAGAATGAGTATGAAGGAGGGAAAAAAGGAGCTTCATGAAGAAATATGCATAGAAGAAAAAAAATTGTATTAGGACTACCAGATTATTTCTTAGTAAAGCTGGGATTTCTGAAGAGACACAGGGAACTGGTGTCCCTCTTCCTCTAACAGTTACAAGAAATTGATTTAATTCCCTTAAGCCTCCTCCTGTTTGCTCAGTACATTCTTGCACATGAATATATAGCACCTATGATTAAATAAATGTTGGCCTGAGAAGCATCAACAGCTAGTTTGCAATAAGGGATCCTTYTGTTTTTGCCATAACACATGGCCTTTAAAGGATAACTTTGTGCACTGAGCAATAGTACCAGTTCCATCAGTTCTCTGGAATTTGCCATACAATGTGTCATTAAAACCTGTTAAAAAGGCAATCTTTCTTTGCTGTCTCAYGGGATAGTCTGAGGCTTGGAAACCTCTCCTTTCTGGAGAYAAGCATGGTTGGTTTYTCAATCAYTGTTGCTGTAGCATGATGCCAGAGMCAACTATCTGAAGGCTTASGTGTCTTTCCATCCATGAAATGGTTAAATCAGCAGTACAGATAAATCACTTAGAGGGTGATTGCTACCTCTATAGCCAACAAGGGCTGATTGTATAGCTGTGCTTTCCACGCTTTAGGATTAGAAGATGTGTGAGCAGAAAAAAGTGGAAAGTGTTGAGGGGAGACGGCTGAAGGGTATTAAAAAGGTAAAAGTTTCTAAGGTTTGGTGACCACCTGAATGTTTTTTCCTTTCAGGAGGAAATTATCCACCAAGTCCAAGAAATGGAAGTCAATATTTAATTTGGGCCGCTCTGGCTCAGAATCAAAGTCTAAACTGAGTCGAAATGGGAGTGTCTTTGTAAGGGCACAGAAGCTCTCTGGTAAGAACACCTTTTCAGCTGAGTTTTTGTGTCTGGAGCTTTCTCTTGTGTTGTTGGTAGCATGGGGCAACCTGTATCTGCTTGCCACATGCCATAGACTTGTGGCAGTCTAATGGGGTTGTGCTTTTTTGTCTGGTTTCATCACATTTCATTTTCCTGTGATGGCAAGAAAAGCCTTTTCAGGAGGATTTGCCAGACAGCTACAGTAAATATTGCATTTTGGTACCTGATAAACGGGCTCCTGTTTTCCAGCTGTGGAGTTTGAGGACTAGGAAATGTTATTTAGGTTTGGATTAGTCCACTATTCCAGCCCAGCCAGTCTCTGTCTCCTCAAAGGTTCATTACATGGCACTGGGTGAATGGCTGTCCTTCTACTAAAGGGCATTAAAGAACCAACTGTGTCTTTGTAAAATGCCTGTGCCTCTGGCTCTCAGCACTTTGGGGAATGCCATTGCTTTTGCAGAATTTTTACAAGAGAGAAGTTGTCTTTCCTTCTGGCTGAATCCCAAGTCCTAACCTCTCCTGAGCTGCAATCTCTYAAACACTCTGCTTCCTAGAAAATCACATGGCAGTGCCGGTTCCCAGTGTTAAGAAAGCTCTAAAAATCATGAACTTGACTTAAAAGTAATCACATTTTTAAAAAGAAAGCATGCCCTTTTAATTGGAATTCGTAAAGAAATGTTTTGAGTTTATATGTTCTATATTTTTTAAGTACCTCCAAGTCAAGGAATTTACTTTCTAGAGGGAGATGAAAGTGGATTTTTTATTTATATAATCTCATGATTCCAGGAGCTGGTGTTTGGAGGACCACTGTCTAACATTGCAAGATTTAAAATAAAGTAGTTAATGTTGGCAACATTAGCTACCACCACATATAAGAGAAGCTGTATTTGGATCAGAAATTAGTGTGAAGCCAAATGCTGAATCCAGTCCTTTTTGGACCCCTGCCTTCCCCMTGTTTGCACATGGGATGTCCATGACAGAATTCAAAATAGCTCTCTRTCCTATTTTGATCATGGGATCACCTTCTCCTCCCAACAAGGAATGCTCTGCCTCAAAATAGTGCTAACCCAAGGATGCCCAGGAGCGATGGCAGCCCCAGCGATTGTGGAGGCTGAGCCTTGTTCCAGGGACAGMACTGAGTGACAGGGGGCTGGACATTTTCACCAGCAGGACACACAAATGCACAGCCATGCACGGAGTTTTCAGCACTGAAGCAGTGCCTTTGAGAAGCAGCACTTTTGTGCTGTTGTGTTACATTTTCTGCTCTCTGCTTGGAGCCTTAAGTGAGGGAACAGATGAAGTTGCTGCTGGAACTCAGCACCTGCTTGAACACTGCTTGAGTCTGTGCACACAAATCTGTAAGTCACATAAAATGTGACAAACACAGCTCCCCAGCTTGAATCCTGTTCCTCCTGGAAAGCGGAAACAGTGCTCAAGACATCACGTCTYATGAACATAAAAAGTAGCCAGGACTCCATTTAAATGTAAGAGGTAGCTGTAGTTTCTCCTGTGCTCATGTGAAAGTCAGAGCCAGGAGCCTCAGCTACATAAACAAATTAAGTTCAACAAGCCTGCTCACTTTCTGCTTTACCTACTTTGTGCAACTCTGTAAACAGCAAACTCTACTCTCAGACATTTTCCAGATCTCCATGGACCCATTTTGGGCTGCCAGAGACTAACTTGTCTTCCTTGCCAGCTACATTTCCCCACCTCCATTACTTTTTCAGAGCAGCAACARCTACAGAACACATCTGTAGAGTGTATAGTAACAAATGACAGCTTGTTTGTGRACAAGCACGTCCAGTGAGGATGACCAGCAAAATAGGTTGCTTACTGCTCTCAGAAATTTCCCAGAGTTCTTGCTGGAAGCAGGGTATGTTCACATCAGCAAAAGAGCTGGGAGTGCAATGTAAAAATAACCCAGCATTTGCTATCAGGAATGAGAGGTGAGAAGGCATTTGTGTCAGTTTAGTTAAAAAATCCTCCACAACCAATGGGCAATGACTAAGTCAGGAAGGGGAGTGGCACATGACGGCTTTGGGGATGCTTAACTGCTTCAGAGTGGAGGTGGTGTTGACTGGCTGGGTTAAGTATAGCTCTCCACATGTCCAGCAGGTGCAAAGCTGTTGTTAGCACTAGCAGATCCCCAGCTGTGTGGACAAGTGTTGTGGGTAATAAGCCATGTGGTGTAGATACATGRGGGGAATGCTTGGAAATGGAAAATGTCTGCTTGGCATGCTTGTCTACATGTATGCAGCCTTTGATCTTTATGGACTGAAGCCTGCAAAGCCACAGGATCTGATACCTGCTTCTGAAACTCTTTTTTTTTTTCCACAGAAAAAGCAACGATTCGGCCCGCAAAGAGCATGGACTCGTTGTGTTCCCTGCCTGTGGAAGGTGAGACATCCACAGCCCGTACTGTAAGGGGGGAGGATTGCAGCTTTGCATTTTCAGCAGCATGGATCCTAGAATCACAGGATGGTGTTGTGGTTTGAACGAACTCAACGGGAGCAAAACACTCCCAAGCTCCAGCAAACCTCCCCCCCTCTCCCTTCCCCACCTGGGTCCCAGAGACAAACTTTTCCACAAAGAGGAAAATAAAAAAAAAAAAAAAAAAACATATTAATTTAAAATTATAAAAAAAAAAAAACAAAAAAAAAAAAAAAAAAAACAAACCCTGTGGAATCAGCTGTTAGATCCCAAAGCCTTCCTCTTCCCTCCTGGGAGTGGCTTCCCCTCCAGGGCCCCCAGAGGGGTTGGACAGTCTCTCCGGTGGTTCACTGAAGGATCTTTCTCGCCTGTCATGCCACGGGAATCCTCCAATTCTCAGATGACGAAGAAAAAAAAATTCGAGGAAAAACAAGTCCAAAGAAAGGGAGAAAAAAAGGAGCAGTCCCAGAGAGCAGGCAGCTTCTTTTCCCCCGCTGATCCCGAGAGCCTCCCGGGAAGCAAAAAAAAAAAAAAGTGTGTGTCTTGTCCCTTTCCCTCCCATTGTCCTTGAAGGGAGGAACATCACAGAACAAACCAGAGCAGTCTCGACTAATGTATAGTTACAGAAGGGTTGTTCAACTTTCCTCTAACATAAGCAGATGATAGGAATACAATASTCAGCTAACCTAGGACAGATGGTTTGAGTTGAAAGGGACTTCAGAAATCTCCTAATTCCAACCCCTCTGCCGTAGGCAGGGACACCTTCTGCTTCCACCTTCCAACCATACCAGGTTGCTCAATGCCCATCCAACCTGGCCTTGAACACTGCCAGGGATGGGGAATCCAYRACATCTCTGGAYAATCTGTTCCAGGGCTTCACCACCCTCAATGGATGCAGCAKTCTGTGTCTGTCTCACCATGTATTTTCATATGTTTATACCATGGYTGCTGACGTGTGCCCCCACCTCTGTGTGCATGCATTTTTGACTCTTTTCTGTGTCGTTTATCTCAATGAATCCACCTTAGGGTTGCCACTGTGTTTAGCTGCATCTTTATCGGCAGTTGGACTGCTTTGATTTCTTTCTTGGTTATTCTGGGCACAAAAATCCCATTTGTAGATGAAAAARGCTTGCAAAAAGCCAACAAAGCCTGGCGTGTGCATTGTGGGCAGTGTGTGATAGCCTAGAGAAGGATGTCTAATAAAAGTCTGATCTGATTTCCACTGGAGGGCATTCAATCCAGTGCTGCCTGCCCATTTTGAAGGAARCCCTAGGGCTAGAGCACAGAAGCTCTTCAGTACCTATTGTCTCCATCTGTCTGGGGAAATGTGGGTGTTCACCAGGGCAAGGCTCATCCCTGGAGGGATTGAGGAGGGCTCCTCACAGAGGGAGTTTGTTTGCTGGTGCTTTGTTTCCCACTGACTTGCCCTCTGTTGCCGTCTCCAGGGGAGGATGACAAAAGCAGGTTCAAGCGGTCAGTGACTACWGGAGGATTCTTTGTTCCCACCAAGAGGACAGGAGGCACAGGCAGCTCGTATGACCTCAGCAAGGAGAATGAGTGGGAGCGGGAAGGATCTGCCATGGGGGCCAAAGGAAGTTCAGAGCTGAGTGGGGAGAAAGGCCCTCCCTGGACACCGCAGGTGAAGTCACCCCCTGAGCAGCTGAAGGTTTTCCGGGTGGCAGAGGATGCCGAAAATGAGCAGATTTCAGCCAAAGGAGTGCTCATGTTCTACACATCTGAAACAGCCACCAAGTCAGGCTTCCCAAGCAGCCTCTTTCCCTTGGAGGCCTCTCCTCGTCACCAGAGGAAAGCCCTGAACATCTCGGAGCCGTTTGCTGTCTCTGTCCCACTGAGGGTATCGGCAGTGATCAGCACCAACAGCACGCCCTGCCGTGTGCCCTCCAAGGAAAAACATTCCCTTTCCAGTCTAGAGGAGCTGTCTTCCCTGGTGGAGAGCACCAGCCCCTCTGCTCCAGAACCAGGGACCCACACAAGGACAGAGCAGGCAGCAGAGCACAAGGAGAAGCAGCCAGGGCCAGCTGTGCCTGTGGCAGCATCCAGAGGTAAATGGATAAGGAGGGGGATATGGATGCTCGATTGGTGCCCTGCACATTGGTGGTGTGGAGGTTTCTCCAGCCTGACCTTGTGGCAGGAAAGMGACCGAGCTGTAGCAGGGCAGATGTTGACTCTGATAGCAGGTCAGAGTGGTGCTTGTTGCAGTAGGGGGCCTGGGGAGGTGGGTGACCTCCCAGAAATGTCCAGTTGTGCCTGGAGGGAGCTCTTTAGCTTTGCTAATTGGTATTGGCTCTTATCAGTGTCGCTTTGTCCCAGGGTGCAAGTTTTCAGTGTCAAGTAATCACTTTGTTTGTGTTTCTGACCCAGGCACTCACCCTGAGGAGCTGGTGGCAGCCAAGAAACCCGAGTCCTTGGAAACTCCGCAGCCAGCAGCAGAAAATCAAGAGATTTGTGGGCAAAACAGCTGCAGAAGCAGCACCAGCAGCCCCCAGCAGTCCTCAGAGCACAGTCCCACCTTGGAACAAACACCAGCCTTGGAGCTCCATAAGGGGCCACTCCCGGCAGGCAAAGCAGAGCAAGGACTGCTCAAGATGAAGGATGTCTCCTCTGAAGGCAGCTGTGACCAGCAGGAGGTTGAGATGGCTAAAATGGAAGACAGATCACACCTGAGAGATGTGGTAAGGAAGAAAGGATGAGAACGTCGTGGTAGTGACTGGGAGGTTGTTTAAAATTTCATTGTGTTTCTGTAGTTGTGAAAACTCAGTCTTTAACTTAGGCAAAGCAGCATAAAGAATTGGCTGTGAACTGATGTATTTCACTTCCATGAAATCACTGTTTGGTGACTTACCTTTATGTAATTACCTACTGTCCCCTTTTGGTCATCTTTTCCATTGACTGTCTAATTTCAGTCTGTACCATCTGTCTGCTCTGAGACTCTCCAGATGTGAGACTGTCCGGATGTCTGAGCATTTTGACCCATGGTCTCTGAATTCCCCTTCTATTTTTGCTGTCCCATTTGTCCTGGACAGCTTGAACAGTCCTTTTTACTCCCATTCTCTACATGTAATTTTTTTTTTTTTTAATTCTTACTATTTTTTGTGTCCTCTGTATCTCTAGCARAGTCTTTTCACCAAGTTTCTTACAGCAATACTCATCTCTGGACAGCTATTTAAAGATCTGTTGGCATAGGTCCTTGAATAGATTATTCATTCCMGTTTGTGTGCTGTTTGGGAATGCATATTCTCTGGCAAGGCCAAGTGGGCCTGAATGGGAATTGCTGAGAAATGGGCTGGAACATTCCAGCTACTCATTCAGCTCACTGTTTCAGTGTATCTGTCCAGGCTTCCTTTTGGCTGCCCCTCAGACCTTCTCCTCCATAAACCCACTTGTTTATAGATGTATTTTCTGCCTTGACCTGGTAGCAGTCTGCATGTCTGTGTTTCTGTACCCGTGAGTGTGCTTGTCCAGGAGCCTGGCTCTCCTAGGAGGGCTGTTTGGGGAAAATGGAGAGGTATTTACTGCTAAGTTGAGGGCTCCCAGGTTATGGCATTTCTTCTGTTTTTTCAGACTGAGGAGGACTCGGCAAATGCCCTTCTAGAGCCACTGTGGCCGGAGATCCAGCAGGAACTGAAAATTATTGAACCTGAAGAGGAGCTCTTGCTCTTGCCAGCAGCTGTCCCCAAGACAAGCCMAATTTCTGAATCCTCTTCTTCAGCACAAACAGAGAGCCTTTCCTCAGGCCCAGGGCCAAGTCCAACACTCCCTGAGCAGAAATCTGYGAGCGGAGCATCACAGCTGACTCAGGTGCCTTTACTGGGTGCCAGTGGCATGGAGCAACAAGACAGCCTTTCCAGCTGCCAGTCTGATGCAGATGTGCAGCAGAGCAGTGCTTCAGCCCTGCCCAAACTGGGCACTGTTCCAGCAGGCACAGCCACTCCAAAGAACCACCCCCCACTAGTGGACAGCAGGAGTGAATGTCTCGCTCCTACCATGGACTGGAAGATTCATGGTCAGTCAGAATTTAGTGAGATTGCTCCAAGTGATGGGTTTTCTTGTTCCAAAGGAGCATGTCCAGAATCAGGGAAAGAAAAGGATAACACTTGCCAGGTGCAGAGGGAAAAGGATGRTCTTAGCAGAGTCCAGACTCAGAGGGAGAAGCATGAGATAATGACTGCTGATGAAAGGGACCCATTCTCCTCCAAGGCACTGAGTGGAGCTGGAATCCAGGAGGTGAAGGAAGGCAGTGCTGTTAGCAGAGCGCAGGATRCCGGTGACCAGGATGATGAGGACGYCTGGACAGATAACGTGCAGAGCTTAGAACTTGTGGAGCCRTGGGAGGATCACCAGTGGGTAACGAGCCCTCTCCACTCCCCCACCTTTAAGGACATTCAGGAGAAGATGAAACAGGAGTTGCAGCCACAGAGCCAGAGAGCAGAGACAGGCCTTTCTCTCAGACCACGGTTCAGCCGCAGCCTGTCCCTGGACAGCAAAGACACAGTGCTGAGTCTGTGGACTGCCCCATTCCCTTTCATAGATGCCACTGACCAGCAGCAACCATGCAGTGACATTCTGCATTCAGTGACTTGTGAGCTGTCCAAAACACAACCCRTGTCCCCCTCTAGTTTGGACAAAGCTATGCGAGATGAGAATGGCCCAAGTGCTCCAGAGGAACCTTCAAAACCTGAGTACACCCTTACCAGGGAGAAAGCACTGAGTGAGAAAGCAGAACCTTCCAGAGTCCTTCTTTCAGAGGCAGAGGGGAAGAACATGCACGTGAGCAAAGAAAACCCTTGGAGCCCAAAGCTTGAGCTGTCTTTGCCATACCAAAACATCCCAGGCAGTTCCTCACAGACAAAGAACACAAAAGAGGAATTATCCATCTCTCAGGACACTGCCCTGGGAGGAGACACTGTCACCAAAGCCTTGTGCTGTGCTGCTGAGTCACAACTGAGTAACAAAGGTGAAGAAACACCTCGCAAAGCAAAGACCAGGCCTTCRTCCCTCAACTTGGATTCACTCCTCCCAGCCCCAGACTTCTTCACCTTTGAGAGCCTGTCCATGCCATCTGCCCCTGGCAGCCTCCTGTATGGGCAGAAAGAAGTWAAAAGCAGCGATTCTGTCCCATCCCTGCCCACACACTGCCCTGCTGCCAGTAGAGGTGTTCCCTGGGGGTCTCGTTTCAACACCCCCATGGATCTGGACCTGGATTATCTGGCTGTGGCCCACGCCACCACCGGCCGSCGTAACTCTGCCCCTGTCAGCGTGTCAGCAGTCAGGACCTCCTTCATGATTAAAATGTGCCAGGCCAGAGCCGTGCCSGTGATACCGCCCAAGATTCAGTACACCCAGATCCCTCAGCCCCTGCAGGCTCAGAACGCCGCTCCGGCTGCTGAGAAGAAGGAAGCCGAAGCCAAGCAGGCTGTCAGGCAAGCTCCACGTGTGGCATGGAGTCACCTGGAAGCCCCCAAGAGCCCGCTGACAGAGAAGAAAGCCAAAGCAGAGAAAGAAAACAGCGACCCGGCTCAAAAGGCCTCAGCCTGTCCTTGGCATGGCAGCCTCRGCTCTCCGCTGGAGCCTCAGCCCGGCCATCACCCTGCTCTGGATGCCCCTGTCCTGCGCCGAAAACGCACCTCAGGCGGGGAGACAGCTGGAGATAACCCACAATCTTCAAAGATAGAGAGGCCCTCAGGGTTCTCCAAACCCTCCTACAGATCCAGGCCCGGCAGGCCCCAGAGTCTGATTCTCTTCAGTCCCCCTTTCCCCATCATGGACCACCCCGCCTCCTCAGCWGACTCCAGGGTGTTGTTGTCCCCCATCAGGAGCCCCACTCTCACCACCTCTCTGAGCCCCATTTGCGGCGATCTGTCCGACACGGCGCGGACAACGCCCGAGGGGGTGACGCTGAGGAACAAAATGACCATCCCCAAGAACGGCCAGAGACTGGAGACCTCCACCAGCTGCTTCTACCAGCCCCAGAGGCGCTCTGTGATTCTGGATGGACGGAGTGTCAGGCAGATTGAGTAGCAGCTGCTTCTCCTGTTCCTTTTCTGGGATGGTTGTAATGGGAGTGTCTGAGACCAGCTCTGTTGACGTTTTGCTGTTGTTATAACTAATCTGTGCAAGATGGACCTGAATCCTTTATGGTTCCCTGCAAAGCTTTTTGCTGTGGAAGGTCATAGTCTCTATGCTTTTCCTTCCCCTTGTCTCCCCTGCCTAATCCCTCATGGTCTGTATTTTTTATGGTAAGCCAGTCCCAGGGAACCTGCATTTCTCACACCTRTTTTCCAACAAGCCCTGTGAAAGTCTCATCCTCCCTCTGGAAAAAAAAAAAAAGGAAAAGTAAATCTCCGTATAATTAGAAAATGGGGCTGAGAGGAAACACTGTTAAAACACTCCAGCCCAGGGTGSAGGGGCACAACATCTGCTGAGGAGGTAAGTCCAGATGTTTGGGAACTCCTACCATTGTTACCCAGACACCAGTGAAGGACTTTCTGATTTAATCAGTGTAAATAAACAGTGCAGGAGGCTGGGGATAGCTGAAGAGGAAGAGGAAGGTGAAGCTGGCATGAGCAAATCACGCAGGGTGYGAGACACAAGGATGTTCCAGTGATAAACACGCAACCTGAAGATGCTGCCTCCAGCTCTCTCCTTGCATCATAGATGTGCTCTTTCCAGCATGAGCAAGGGCTGGAATGGAAGCAGCTGGGCAGGAAATGTGTAGTTGTTCTTTCAGCCTTCCAAGCCTTGCTCGTGAGTTTTGTGTGCTCAGYCACAGCTTCCTCGGGCACACAAGATCCGTGTGGCTGAGGCAGGAGTGTGCAGCTGGCTGCCCAGTGGTGGAGACCCCTCAGGCTGACAGCAATGAAAGCCAAAGCAAGGTCATTACAAAGGCCAGTATCAACTATTTTCATCACTGCCTAAAGCCARATGACACCTCTGCAGCTGTCTCCAGCTGGGCTCCTCACCGCCAACAGCAGGCAGAAGCCAGAGGATCTTCTTATCTCCCTGTCCTTGGGCTTTTGACCTCTTGCACCCTGACTGTTTGACCCTTGGCCTTTCATTGCCACTGTGTGGCGTGTCCCCAGGTGCTTCTTCTCCATTTGAACTCCCTTCCCTATGATTTTACAGTGTTTCTTTGGGAGTGTGGCTGGTTGCCACCTCCCTGCACCTCGGTGCTTTCGGATTGATTGTGAGTACAGTAAAGAGGATGATTTGCGGGACTGCAGAACAGATCATGAACAAGTCCTGAGAGGGGGATTTGAAGTGAATTAAACTCTCTCCTGAAGGGAATGTTAATGTTAGAGGCAGATACATGTTCAGATATGCAACAGCTGCCATGGGAATAGAATTAAAGCTTCCTTTATAAAGCCTCCAACTCTGCATTCAGCACAGGTTTGTCTATTGCCTGATCTATGACTGTGGGTGATAGCAAAGTCAGGCACAGCTTGTGCTGTCTCTGCAGTTTATGTGTCACTGGTGGCTGTGGAGGTGACAGGAACACAGGTGTTGCTGCCAGCACTGAGATTGTCCCTCTAATGGACTTGCAGGGGCCATCATTCCTGGAGATGTCTGAGTCCCAGGCCCTCGGATGATTATCATGGGCTGTAGTTTAGGCACTAAACTGTTCGGAAGTGTGATAGCCACAGTGAATGTCAGCCAGAACTTTCCAAAAGATGTGTGTTTTGGGCTTTGTTTTCTGAAGTACTGGAAATTTCCAGTGGTTAGTAAACTCAACCCATGAGCTCGTAGTCTGTACTGACTGTGTCACTTTACTAGTGCCATTGTGGCTGGGGGTCCCTGAACCCCCCCCATACAGTGCTGTCTCTGAACTCTTTGATTGCCAAGGGARAGACGTTCTGGAGTATTTTTGAGAAGTTCTGGGCCCACAAATRCAAGGAATATATCTTCAGCAGGATTTTCTCCTTCCATGTCCAAAGGGAATGTGAAGAAACAAGAGGGCTTTTCACCAGTTGCAGTCTTTGATCCTCCCCGCTGCACCTTTTATTTGTGTATAGCACCACATGGGAACAGAGCAGAGAACTAAGTACACACTGTCAGTTTTCTTGAGGGAGGTTATTAAACCAGATGAGAGCCTGGAGTTCTTATTTGGGTCCATCTTCTCTCTCATACAGCAGCCTATGCTTTACCTGGTCAAGCTGTGGACAGCAGGCCCAGAATATGCAGCTTCATGATGATTGTATTATTCTACTCTCAGACCATAATATGCCTATGCAGCCTCTTATTAAAAACAGGGATTTTCCAGTCCTTCATGCTCCTCACAGTTATTGCAGTTCCACACTGCATTTACATGGCATTGMCTCATGAGAAAGCTTTTAATCACCATGGCTGGTTTAACGACAAAGGAAGGTGTGATAAGAGGTATTGTGGTAAGGCTTTAGGGGAAGTAAAAGTTATGGAAATGATGCCCAGGTTTTTTTTTTGGCATCAGCAAAATAGTTTACCATGGACAAGGACTTATATTCTCACAGTTCCTAGAAGTTTTGACTGCCAGGGCACCTGTAAGGGAGCTAGAGAAGCTTACAAAGTAATGTATCAAAAGAAAAAGAAAATTTCATGAAACTTTGGCGTGTTAAAACCATTTTTCCCCCCTCCTTATTCTCATAGAAGCTGATCCATGAACAAGAAATGAGGTGTGGCAATTTGTATATAATACACTGTYTTGACTCTTAACAGCATTCCAGTAAGTAAGAGTGCTTTTGGCATAAGTGGTGAAAGTCCCGCGAGAGAAAATTATTAGAAGACTTTACTTAATATTAAAGATCAGCCTCAACTAAAATCTGTATCCAGACTATACTTTTTAAGGTTGTTTCAGAATTTGAACTCAGATCTGGGTCCTAGATTTTAATTAATCTGAGATACTGCAACGATATCTCTATTTTGTAGCTTAATCCCATTTTTTTAATCTACAATTTCATCTTCAGCCTTCAGCTGATGTATCAAGAGCACTTAAAACAAAGCCCCGGATCCTGCAGAGATGAAAGCACGTTTTTAGTTGCAAGGTGCCCTGTTGCACAGGTTCATCATTCCCAGCTCCAGACTCAGCCTTCTGCAGAGTCTGTAAAGTTTGATGAAGGATCTGGTACTGGTAACTGCAGTCAGTTTGAAGGACCAGAGCATGGGATTTGGACAGGACCAGAAGACAAATGCCATCTCCCATTGAATGGTGCTGACTTGGTGGCAGGACCTTCCTGAGCTATCCCTGATGYTGGTTTCAGGGTCAGACCTGATCTCCTTAAGAAAGGATTTTCTTCTTTGTTGTGGCCTTTTCTCCTTGGTTTTGGGTTTGGTTTTTTTATTGGTTTTGTTTGTTTATTTGTTTGGGGGTTTTGTTTCTGTTTTTCCTTTTTTTATCTGTGAAGCATTATGAAGAGGGATAAATCCGGTTTATGGGAGATGAGTCTGGCCCAGGAAAGCCAAGCTGGTTTTTCTTGGTATTATTGAAAGGACCTTCCTAAATAGGCTGGCTCATCATCTGCAGCTCCACAAGGATCACTTCAGGGACCCTGCAGTACATTTCAGTTCTCCTGAGACTGTGAAAAGTAAAGGCTATTCCCCAGTTTGCAGATGGCCCCAGTATCAGACATGACAAAATATCACCAGCACATGTTGCTTGTGGACTTTGTGGTGGAAGACAAGTGAGTAAATTTCACTTATTCTTCCCATGTGGTCCAAGGTTGGTGCAGCTTCTCTTAAACGTAGCTCAGAGTGAAATGGCTGAGCTGGCAAAGGTGAGAATCCCTGATGGAAAGGAGGGATGTGGATAATGTTAGCTTGTGTGGGAGCTGCCTTGCTGGCAGGAGAGAAAACAGAAATGAGGATTATATTTCACCTTATAAACCCCAGTCCTCTGGCTGTCCAACTCATGCTATCGCTGTAGAAAGACTGTAGTACCAGTTTTTTCACCTTTAGAGCTTCAGAGGAACTTAAATCTGTATTAGAGAGCATCCATGAAGCCTGCAACGTTTTCCCTCATCCAGAGTCCAAATGGTGCAATCAAAATATTTTTTTTTCTTTCTTTATGGATTCTGAAATGCCTGCAATGGTGAATATCTTTTAAATTTATATATATATATATATATATATATATATGTAAAAGATCATTCTATATAAATGTATGAAAAAGGAAATGTAATTAAAATGAAGGAATTACCTAAATAGTATTGTACACATCTGTGAAACTTGGGCTGATGCATGGAACTGTTTTCTGCTGCTACGTTTGCAGCACTGAGAGTGTGAGATCAAATGGCTTTTTGCCCACAGAGTAGCTAATTAGTTCTGGTAATCAGTGGTGGGCAGAAGGCYTGAATCTGCCTTGCTGAGAAGGATCTTGTCCAGGGAAAGGAGGGACAAGATCTGGGGAGACCAGAGTTCAAGGGCTGATTTAGCTTTCCATCACAAGCTTCTCCCCAGTCCTTGAAAATGCAATCTACTGAAGCACATACTACCTTTCAGGCATGCCCAGGTTTTGCAGTTGTCCCTTTTGCTTCTCTCCATCTCTAGAAAAAAAAAAAAGAATAAAAATYTCTAGGGGTGGGGGAGAAGCCRCAGCTGATCTCTGTTTTGTTTAACCTTTGCTTGCCTCTGATTGATGCAAAGGCTTGGTGATAACTAATTCTGCTCCAAGAAAGGAATGGAAAACTTCCCACTGAGTTCAACTGGAGATGGAATAGGACTTTGACAGCCTCAGAAAGGAAGGATGGCAGAAGGCAACAGCTTTCTGAGGGCTCCATGCAGCAGTCCAGACCTTGGATCTTGTGCTTGCARGCACTGGTCCCCTTTGAAATATTATTTGCTGCCAGGTCAAGAGAAGGGCTGGAAGTTGGACACTTTGAAGAGGACTTCTCCATCCCACTGGCCCTGGTTTGTGATTATTTTTCCTGCTAGCTCTGATGAATTGCAGTTTTGTTAAGCTTTTTTTTTTNAAAAAAAAAAAAAAAAAGGAAAGAAAAACAACAGTCACAAAAGAAAGATGTTTTGCCAGGTCTCAGCCATGAGATTAAACTGGAGTTTTTATAAAAACAGATCTGTGCCCTAGTGATGTTTTGGAACATTTTATTTTTTCTGGATTTGGTTTATGAATGCAGTGCAAATGCCTYTGTCATCCTCTGACATGGAGTTTGAGCCCCTGTTTTGTTTTGTGAGTGGCCAGGGCACTGATCTGTGTTTGTGTGGGCTTTGATGGTGGGGATTGAAGGTTAGGRCCTGACCACACACTTTTCTGATTGGCAGTTATGAGAACTGCAGTAGCTTTGCAGCTCTGAAAATGAAGTAAGAGCTTGGAAACTTCTGTAGAATTACTGTTATCTGAAATGCTTTMAAATTTTCAAGGGTAAAATAATTTTTTTTCTTACCATTTCTAGTTCTACCAGGCTGGAATTTCAGTGATGTRCAACCATGTCCTCCCATTTAACACATCTGCAGAATTCTGGTTTGCCTGTGATAATGCAGAGCAACTCAGAGCAGAGATGGAAAAACTTTGTGATCTCAGTGCTTGTACAGCAGAAGCCAAACTGGAACAGAATTTACTAGGAAAGCCTCTGGTGCATCATGTATGCATTTCTGTTGATTAGTAAAGACAAGCAAGGACTTAAATTATGAATTTAGTTCCTTGGCTCTCATTGAGCCAATCTCTGAGCTGTAGCATGGAAGCACATGTTGTTCTTATGAGTCCCTTATTCCACCCTGGGAACAAAGAAAAGGAAAAAAAAAAGGGGTGTTCTTGTTCTTGTAGCCTCAATGGACATATCTGCAGTGCAGCTTGCTCACTGTTCTCCCTAAAAGGCAGATGAATCATCAGGTTAAATGAAATATTTTTTTTTTCCTACTCAGCAGCTGAACTCAGGGCTTGACTCCCTTTCCTACCTCCTTCATGACTTCAGTTTCCCTTTAGGAAAATGCCTGGGTTGTGCTTCCTGCTTGCCATGGCAACTGGCACACAAATTGAGAGAGAAAACCATGTTTGTTGAACTCTGGAATTGTTGTTAGCCAGAGCCAATTATTAGTGCTGTGCAAAAWCCAGCATTTTCCTATTCTTTGTGCCACAGAATCTCGCAATGACTTGGCCATAAGGTAAGGGGAGAATGTCAGATTGCCCCCAACATTCCCATGGTGAAAGGGAGGTGCAGGGAAGGGAGACTGGCACGAGACACCATCAACAACAAAAAGAACAGAATCCTAGCAGCTGAGATAAAGAAAGGCAGGGAGATTTCTGAGTTCATTTTCCATCTGAGCAGGATAAACTTTTCTAAGGACATGCYTCACCACAAAGGTAAAGGATGAACAATTTCAGAGTTAAGGATTAGAAATGAATGGGATTTGCAAAGCTCAGACCTGCCCAAGTCCTGATGCCCTGAGGAGTTAGACACAGTGTGAGTGTTAAARCTCAAATGTTTGCCTCATTCCATAATTAAACAGGTGAGGTATTTTCTGATGTCTTATTAACAAACTGCAGTGTGAGATGAGCTACATCGTGCAAACCTAGACAACTCTTAGGAATTATCTTTGCAATTTGGGTTCAGATCCAACTTAAAATGGGACCTGTTTTCCAAAGCACATCTGGTGCAGAGAGTACATATCTCTATCATTTAAATCCCTTATCTGAAAAGACCAGGAAATATTTGAATTCAGTGAGAGGAAATCACTTCAAAAAAATCTTTGTAGCTGCTTAAGAAAGAACCACAAGGCACACAAACATGGGAACAACCAGAGCTGGARAAAGGAGAATWACACACATGACGATTATTAAACAGAGGAAGTTGCCAGATAAGTAAAACCCAAAAAGGAAAAAAAAMCCCAACACCCAGCCATAAGATTGAGTTATTCACTCTGAAGAATATCAGGTAACATTTTCTTTCCCTCTTCCTTCATAGGAATCAGGAAGAATAAATCAGAAAAAATAAGGTGCTCACAATCTGCTTTACTTTTTTTTTTGCACTGTGAGATAATTTACTTAAACACCAAGAGTCAGACAGTGTGAAAGGACTAGGCTGGTTATTTACAAGGWTTTTTTAAATGACTTGGCCTACTATTTCCAGCCTCTGTGCCAGCCATGGCACTCTGCTGAAGGTGAACATTGCWCTGGGAAATAGAGAAGTCCTGCATTGACTCACAGTTAGCAACAGCCCTGGGTAGCCAGAGCAGCTCACTGCTCATCACTTAGCTCTCTTGCAGGGTTTATCTCAACTAGTAATCGTGCAAGAACTCCAGGTGACCTTGCCTGTGATGTAATTTCACCTCCTGAGCAAGTCAGAAACACSCTCACCTTTTCCTGTTGAGGATAAACCCTCAGCAGTCACATTCAACTCCCCTCAAAGCAGAATATCCTAAAGAGAGATGCCTGAGATTACAGGAAGAGCTCTTGCAGGGGGTTCCCAGCATACCACACATTGCAGGGGCTTTCCCCATTGCCAAGGAGGGCAGGGCTGCCAAGCTTGGGAGTAGGAGGCTTCATTTATGAGCTTGTTTTAGGTCATTGATCCCGAAAAACATTTGCTTGGCATGAGTCCTTGCTGTAAGGAATGTGAAAAACTCAGATGCCAGGGCAATGAGCAGGAAAGGGAATAAATCACCTGAGTCAGAGGATACTGAATACCATCGTCAGCCTGGTTCCTGGTTTTCCCAATGGGGTGGGTACCCCACRAGTATGGCACACAATGGCCATTGTATGTCACACACAAACCACCAAGGTAAGGAAAAATAGGGCCTGAAAGAGTCTGTGTGGAGACAATTCCTGCACAAGTGAGGGGAAGGGAGAAAGGGATAGGAAAACCTGTTGGAAAAATGGGGTCAAGGCAAAAAATACACAAAAGCAGCCCCATATTGACCCATTGCCTGAAGGCACAGAGACCTTCAGTACCTGTGGAAAACATCAGGTTACATTTCTGTGAGCATGGGAGGGGAGCAGCTGAGCATGTGGGGTTCTTTTGGTATGGAGGATGAACCACTCCATCAGCTATGAACAGAGGATGCTTCTCAGCAGGACTCTTGRTTTCTTCGAGCTGGGAATATTGCAATAAATTAATAATCTAAAAATACATTTGGTAACCCCATGGGAGAATTGAAGTGTGCTTTTATTGCCAAGAGAGAACTGTGAATATTCACACCTAGGGAGAATAAATACACAGAGCAAATCTGCAAACAAACCATATGATTTCCACCTGGAGCATTTTTTTTTCCTTCATCCTGTCTTAGCAGGATGTCTTAGTCCAGCAGTTCTCATGCACACATGCATATTGCCTGCCCTGAAGTCCACGTACATCCATGCCTTCAGGGAGCAATGAAAACAGCTGAGAATGACCAGGATTCCTTTWTGGGTCTCAGCTGACACATAAAACTCTTCACCACCATTCCTTTCACAGACTCCATCCCTTCTTCACTCTCCCCCTGGCACCTCAGGTAGGGTGCAGAGGCTTGAATCARACCTCAGAAGCTGAAAAATCAGAAAAAGCTGGATGGCATTTTTCATGATCCTGCTCAACATCATTCTGTGATCAGTCCAGTCTTCTCCTTCCCCCTTAATCTGGACAGATAAAGCTGGGTTTTTCTGGATGCACTGTTTCCTGTTTGTCACTTCTGCACAGATCCACCATTGCCTGGAATACTTGGTCACAGCTTCTATTTTTTTTAGTACAGAAACCATAAAGTGCAATGGGAGGGAAAGGCTTAAGAAGCAGAAAGCAAATTTGAAGAACTGAAACTGAATTGACTTCAGCTGCCATTTATGTAATAGGTCAGTGGTATCATTTGCAGCTGGTTGGGGCGGTTAATACTGCAATAGTCAATTTAAAGYAGTCTCAATTTCTCCTTCAAAATCCTGCAGCATTTTCCTCTGTGTTAAACACAGTGCTGTAATCATTCCACATTTAGATGTAGCAAAAAGGATTTGGGTCTGAAGCAAAAGAACAGAGGAGGAAAATAATATTTGATCTTACCTGCATCTGTGGTCCTACAGTTTTCTCCAGGCTGAATGTCCAGTGACATCCATATGCATAGCTTTTGGAAAGTCCCACAGTCACTTGTTTCACCCATTTGCAGAGCTGCTTGGCTTTCAGAAACCACTCAAGCAAGAGGCCCTTATGTAGGAGGGCAGCTATCCACAATRGGTGCCATGACCAAGAGTTATTGGAGGGTTTGGCTGAGCAAGGACAGAGTCTTTGTTCCTGCTGTGCCCTTCCTTCCCCACTGCTCTCCTCTCTGTTGCTGCACTTGGCAGGGATTTGCAGTTTATGGCAAGTAGCAGAGAAACCAGTCTTTGCTGTTGCTCCCTAACTTTGGCAGATGATGATTCTCTTTAGATTTCTTTGCATTTAGGTATTACTGTAGCTTTCAGCAGCGTACATAAAAACCCCAAGCCTACCACCCAACCTCACCCCCTCGAAAACCGAACTCTGACATAACCACTGACATACATGGTCTGCATGSTCAATCCATGACTCAAGTCTCACAAATGAAGTGCTGAAGAATAATTTCCTTATGGAATTTCTGAGAGTCCAGGATCTCCAAGATGGTCACCATGCCACTGAACCAGGGCAGTGGCTGATCCATGAGGATTGTCAGCTCGGGAGGCACATTCATGCAGAAAGCTCCATCTGTGTTTCAGGGATCCATTTCTTCCTCAAGCTGTTTGCCCTCATATCTGCTCCTTCTCTCCCCCAGCACTCTGGTAAGAAGCTATTTGGCTGCTGACTTTCTGTAGCACCCTGCATTCTGGTGCTTGAACATCTCTGTTACAGGATGTTAAAACCTGTCACTGCCCTGCCCCAGATGTCCCAAAGACAGACCTTTATTATTTACCCTTCCCAAAGACATAATCTTGAAAAAAAGAAAAAAAAAAATTCACTTCCACTTCTTTTTATTTAGTATTTTGGTGAATATACAAAAACAAAGAATCAAGACAGATGGCAAACACCAGGACCT